AAATAGTCCTTTACTTGGAGAAGGCAGTGGCACCCCACTCCAGTACTCTTGCCTGGCAAATCCCATGGATGGAGGAGCCTGGTGGGCTGCCGTCCACGGGGTCTCTAGGAGTCAGACACGACTGAGTGACTTCACTTTCACTTTTCACTGTCATGCATTGGAGAAGGAAATGGCAACCCACTCCAGGGTTCTCGCCTGGAGAGTCCCAGGGACGGGGGAGCCTGGTGGGCTGCCGTCCATGGGGTCGCACAGAGTCGGACACGACTGTGCGACTGAGCAGCAGCAGCCGCAGTCATTTACCAGGTGCTCTAGCAGATATGAATTGAAAACCATATCCTTTAGAGAAGTAAAAGAGGCCCAATAACAGGAATGGGATGTTAAATGTAAAGAGCGTGGCCTACATAGACGGTGCGAATCCCTACAGGAGGCCATTGACAAGTGGTGGTCTGCAGCGTTTTGTGGGGAAGGGAGAGGCCAGTAAATAGGGATCTAGGAAAGAGCTCCTGACAGAAGTAAGATGATTTATGCAAACTTTAGCAATGTTTTAATTATGCAAAATGGTATGCAGATGGCTCAGAGAGTAGCCTCGTGTGAGGAAGTTGTGTGGATGGAAGCTGTGAGAAGGGAGGTGGAGAAGAACTAGAGGTGGAGGGCTTAGTGTATCAGAATTAGTATGATTTGTGTGTGGACTTTACCTGTAGATTTTGGAAAGATCCAAGGATTTTTAACTGATCATTGCAATCATACTTTAGAAACTTTAAATTGTCCTGAATCTTCAGCATTGACCAAGACTTTCAAAGCAGTCATTTTTAAAACATGGACTAGAAGTGAGAAGCTGTGAAAGCCTTTTTCAGGGTATACTAGTGAAATGTACAAAGGGGACACATTTGAAGGATATGATAGCTAGACTAACATCAGAAGCAAGTGAATCTGTGAAAATATACAAAATAATAAGTATGAGAAGAGGAGTCCCAAGACAATAACTTTGAGAAAGGATTTAGGGGGAGCAGGAAAGATTTGATGAAGGAGGGAAGTTGTGTGAATGTTTCATGAACTGGTCAAATTCTTTCTCATCTCCATGAAGCCAGTGTCATTTACCACCATCATTAATAGAGTGTCCATTTTGTGATATTAAAAGATGAGTTGTAAGCTATGAAATAGACTGCCTGGATTCAAATCCACAATCAACTCTGAGATTTTATAGAAGTCACTGAAACTCTCTGAGCCTCTGTTTCTTCATCAGTAAGTAAGGATAATAATTCCACCTTCAGAAAGTGTTTTATGTTACTTTCTGCCTCCAGGGCTCCAAAGAGGTCTACTAACTTTAATACTTTGTGTGATAAAGTTTGGGTATCTCCACATTGATGTTGGTACCTGTAAAGAAGAAAGCTCTGTATGTGTCAAGAATTTGCTCTAGTTCCTCCCAACTCAAAGGGTTATAAAGCTTAAATCACCCTAATAACTCCTGCCAAAATACAGTATTAATTTGTTCACTCATCCATTCATTCAGTTAAGTGGTATTTATTGATAACATACTATGTTTCAGTCACTGTGTTAAGGAAGAGTAACCAGCACATCTAAGGCATCTGCCCTATAAATATTAGGTCTTAATAAAAGGAAAAAGGTAATAAACAAAAGAACACACTATCTTGGAAATATAGAGAGAACATGAGGAGGGTGTAACTGTGTGGCTGGGGAAATCTGAGATACAGAGGGTGAGGAGCCAGTCAGCCATGGAGAGAGCTTTCCAGGAAGATACTGATGACCAGAGTCTTCATTCACACCCCAGGCCCTAGTTTCATGGTGCATCCCAAGTAATGTGTCTCTAATGATGCTAATACTAATCAAGTACTCTCTCTTTGCCTGCTTTCTCATTGTAAAATTGTTTCAAGTGAGAACATGCTTCTTAGGGAGATTGTAAGGACTGAAAGAATTGAATGTAGTTAGTAGCAAGTAGTGAATTTGGTGTATTTATGGATAACAATGGCTTTGAAATTTGTACATTTCTTTTTGTACCTACATTGAATATGCTGCTGCTGCTGCTAAGTCACTTCAGTCGTGTCCGACTCTGTGCAACCCCATAGATGGCAGCCCACCAGGCTCCTCCGTCCCTGGGATTCTCCAGGCAAAAATACTGGAGTGGGTTGCCATTTCCTTCTCTGATGCATGAAAGTGAAAAGTGAAAGTGAAGTCGCTCAGTCGTGTCCGACTCTCAGAGACCCCATGGACTGTGTAGCCTACCAGGGTCCTCCATCCATGGGAGTTTCCAGGCAAGAGTACTGGAGTGGAGTGCCACTGCCTTCTCCGTATATTGAATATATGTGCTTGAAAATTTACATATATCTGCATATATGTATTTGCACAGTGATGTAGATAGAATGGGCTTCCCAGGTGGCCCTAGAGGTGAAGAACCCCACTGCCAATGCAAGAGACATAAGGGAAACAAGTTAAATCCTGGGTTGGGAAGATCCCCTGGAGAAGGAAATGACAACCCACTCCAGTATTCTTGCCTGGAGAATCCCATGGACAGAGGAGCCTGATAGGACCCCATGGTCCATGGGGTCACAAAGAGTTGGATATGACTGAAGCGACTTAGCACACGTGCACACGTGGATAAATGTGTAACTATATCAATACACAAATCAGTGTATATATACATAACCATATGTATATAAACAGGCTTCCCTGGTGGTTCAGGCAGTAAAGTATCCACCTGCAATGCAGGAGACCTGTGTTCAGTCCCTGGTTTGGGAAGATCCTCTGGAGGAGGGCAAGGCAACCCACTCCAGTATTCTTGCCTGGAGAATCCCAAGGACAGAGGAGCCTGGTGGGGCTACAGTCCATGATGTTGCAGAGAGTCAGACATGACTAAGTGACTATGCACAGCACAGCACATATACATACCCATACATAGTTAGAGTTGATACAAGGTTGACTTTGTTTTAACACTATTCTTTCTTGTTTTCTAACATGCTTTACTGAGACTAAAGAAAGTGACAGTGTTACAACTAGAATTAGAATTTACATTTAGTACAGAATATGCCTGCATTAGTCAGGATGCTGCAGTAATGGAAAACTCTAAAAATTTCAGTGATTTAATTAAATAGTTTATTTCTTACACATGCAAAGCCTAAAGCAAGTCAGATAATCCTACATATTGGTAGCTAAGTCATAAGAAACAGGGGGCTTCCAAAGACACCCTAACAGATGAAAAGAAGCCTTGAGAATAGTGGAAGTAAAAACGATGGATCCAAAATGTGCTAGTCTTACTTCCATGTACATACTTTAGCCAGAACTCGGTCACATGACCCCACCTACCTGCAAGATAAGATAATATAGGTTTAGAGATTTTCCATGTGACCAGAAAGAGGAAATATACAAATTCATAAAATTGCTCCAGTCAAAATATCTAGTGAAGTATGTTGGATACATACTATAAAATTTATAGCTGTCACAATGGAAAACAATTCCTGCATAACACTTGCTTTAACAGACAAAATAACAACCTCCAAATCTGCCATATTTATATTCAGTTTTGAGATTATAGCACAAAAATACATTACTTCTCTCTTATAAAATTCCTTCTCTCCTCAACATCAGTTTATTACTATTTATAATTGCTCAGATGGATTAAAATAAAACACATGTGTATGTGCATTATAAACTGTAGTAACTGCAATGCAGCATAAAACATGCTATTACTGCTTCAATATATATTTCTAAAACATATTTATATAAAGTACACACAAACACACACATACAAGCACACAATAACATATACAGTCTTACAGTAACTCTTAAATGGTTATCTGGCTCTGTTATTTAATTTACCTAGAATATTTTAAAAAATTTCCAACCAGAATGTGAAATTCTGCAGGACGTATGGAGTTACAAGACACAGAATGCTAACCTCACAGTCAGCTCTCAATAAATATTTGTCGAATGAGCAGACAGTGTCAGGTAGTGGAAGAGATTTCATGCCAAGCTGAAGAATTTGTATTTTATCCCACAAGGACAACCCAGAGGAACTTTTTGAGTTGAGAAATAGGATGATGAAAATAGTAATTCAGAAATGGTGCTATGTCGTTGGATGCAGGAAAGATTAGAGGGGAAAGCCTGGAGAGAAAAACTAATCAGGAAGCTATTGCAGTAATTCAATATAGGAGGCTGGGCTTAAATAGAGGCAGTTGAAAGAGATAATAAGGAACAAATGCTGGATGTGTTTTAATAAAAATTGGTGAATTATTGAATGGTGAATTGGTCATATAGGGAGAAGAGAAAAATCAAAGTTTATTTCAAGATGCTGAATTTGGAGCTAGGACAAGAGCCACACCCAGGAGGGAGAGAGGTCACTTGAACCGGGTGATGTGCTAGGATCACAAGGTCCCCAGTGAAAGATCCTGGAAATGCCTGTAGTTCTGGTCATTTATGGGAGATCTCTTTTTCAATATTTTCTAATTGTTCAGAGGACTTCTATCTAATACAGGAGGTGATTGAGAGAGCTCATTTACTAGTTAGTACGCTTTTTCCCCTGTAGACTACAGACAGAGGGAAGGGAAAAGCAGAGACATGTATTCCTTGCGTGGCTGAGTGCAGGAACTCTCAGGAACCTTACGAACTTTGTTCTTATCTTGTCTCCATTTTACAGACGAAGAGGTTGAGATTTTTTAATTAAACTCAAAAAATGTCTGTATTTCATCAAATTTAAATCAGTCTTGCTTTAAGATATTTTACACACAAAAGGGAGAAGAAATAGTTAATTAGAAGACATCATGAAAAAAAGTCATCCCTATTTCAGAAATATTAAAATGTGAGCCCATAGGAGCGTGATGTCCGCAAGACCGCAAACTAGGAAGCCGCCCCCCTTCCCGGATGAGACATGGAGTTAGTGAAAACTCCAGACAAGGACCCTGTCTGAGAGCTCCAGGGACCAGCTGGGAAGCCATGGCACCCAGGCTGCTGTGAACCAAGATGATTCCAGCAAGAGGGCGGGCGTGCTCATGGCGCCCCCCTGGGCCGCTCGCCCACGTGGCACCGTGCTGAGCGACTGGAGGAGAGCCTCCCACGCCCAGGCTCCTCCCTCTGGACCGAAGCGAGAGGAGGACCAGCCGCTGATGCTCTGGCTGCCGTGGGCGCTGCCAAGGGGCCAGCTCCGGGCTCTCAGGCTCGGCGGTGGCCAGAGCCCCGCAGCCCACTGCACTGGGTTATACCCGCGGATATTGCAGGCTGCTGATATCTTTCTTAGAGGTTTTTACACAGTAAAACTCAAAGAATTGCCATTGCTTATTTTGATTCTTCGAGCTTATTTTGCCCATCACCTGAGGTCTGCTGTCAGCAGGGCTGTCTGGGGTGGAAACCAACGACCGAAATCTGAAGGCATCACCCCCAAGGACTCTAGCCTAAGAGGCCCGCCCTCCAGCCCCGAATACGGGGGACTGGGACATCGCCTCTCTGAGTTGTCACTACACCTGCTAGTTATAAACACCCCTTCCTCAACACAACAGGGACCAAACGCACTGTGCAAGTGTGATGGCTGAGTTGCTCTTCTGAGCCAGAAAGCTTCCCAAGGCTTTCTGTCAACCAAGGATGCTGAGTCAGGTAAAACTCTCCTTTAAAGTCAAGTTCAGGTCAGTTCAGTCGCTCAGTAGTGTCCGATTCTTTGCGACCCCATGAACCGCAGCACTCCAGGCCTCCCTGTCCGTCACAACTCCCGGAGTCCACCCAAACCCATGTCCATCCAGTCGGTGATGCCATCCAACCATCTCATCCTCTGTCATCCCCTTCTCCTCACGTCCTCAGTCTTTCCCAGCATCAGGGTAGAGGAGAAATAAAAACTCTCCAGGATAAACAAAACCTGAGGGAGTTTATTACTATCTAACAAAGGGCTTCCCAGGTGGCTTGGTAAAGAATCTGCCTGCCAATGCAGGAGAAACAGTTTTGATCCCTGCTTTGGGAAGATCCCCTGGAAAACGAAATGGCAACCGACACCACTATGCATGCCTGGAGAATTCCATGAACAGAGGGGCCTGGAAGGCTACAGTCCATGTGATTGCAAAAGAGTCGGATCCAATTGAACAATAACACTTTAATCAAATTGCCAAAGTCTTTTTTGCCATTTAAGGTAGGACTCGCGGGATGCAGGGATTATGACATGGGTGTACTGGGGTACAACTACTCTCTGTGTGCATGTGTGTTCAGTCATTTCTGACTCTTGGAGACCCCATGGACTGTAGCCCGCCAAGCTCCTCTGTTCCTGGCAAGAAAACTGGAGTGGATTGTAATTTCCTACTCCAGGGGATCTTTCCAGCCCAGGGATCAAACCTGTATCTCCTGTCTCTTGCATTGACTATCAGATTCTTTACCACTGAATCACTTGGGAAGCCCACAATTACTCCCTACCACAGCTGTATTTGTGTATATCTTGAGGTTGAAAAGTGAAAGTGAAAGTCATTCAGTCGTGTCTGACCCTTTGTGACCCCATTGTTTGTATAGTCCATGGAATTCTCCAAGTCAGAATACTTGAATGAGTAGCCTTTCCCTTCTCCAAGGGATCTTCCCAATCCTGGGATCGAACCCAGGTTTCCCACATTGCAGGTGGATTCTTTACCAGCTGAGCCACAAGGGAAGCCCAAAAATACAGGTACGGGTAGCCTATTCCTTCTCCAGCAGATCTTCTCAACCCAGGAATTGAACCAGGCTCTCCTGCATTGCAGGTGGATTCTTTACCAGCTGAGCTATAAGGTAAGCCATCTTGAGATTAATCTTCCTAATGAATCCTGACATATTCATACTGTTTTGAAAAGCATATACTTTGCTTTTGCAGAGTGGGGGGTGGCTTTTTTTTAAGTCCAGTGTGCTACAAGAGCAAGCAAAATATTTGGGATGATAAAACTTTGCTTGTCCCAAAGTCATTAAAAATTTACTTTTCTCTTGTGAATCTTTGCATGCAAGTTTTATCTGAAAAGGTTGATAAATATAAAATTGATGCCTATCCTCAATGGTTGTCAGTATGTGGACAGTTAATGAGGATGTCAAGAGCAATACTTATCTGGTCATTTAAACACTTTTCCCCATAACTTCACCATTCTTTGCATTAAATTACATCAAGAAAAATAAACCATACTAGCTGTCTATCAGCAAACCTTGGTTGCATGTTGCTTAGTAGTTGGAAATTGAAAGATTATTTTTTAACAGGTGTCTGTTTTGTAATTACCTATAGGAGGCAATTTTTTTTTTTCTGATTTTAGTAAGAATGATTATGAAAACACATCACAGCTTCTTTCCTATGAAGCACTGAGACACATTTGACTCCTTTCAGTGTTCTCAATTTACATTGTTTAATTAAACAACTACAGAGAAGGCCACTTGGAGGACACAGCAAAAGGGACCATGGATGACTTCAGAGTTAATCATTTGGCCCAATGGTGCTATTCGTACAATGACCTGTGGGATTTCTGTTGTCAGCAAATGTCCAGCCCATTGTTTTTGCATTTCAGTCTTCAGGGGGCAGCTGTTTCTCCACGAGCTCCCATGGAGTTTTGCTGCAACACAGCACTCTGCTCAGGGCTCAACTGTCTCCACTAACAGCGTTTTCTTGCACAATGAGACTCCCTGATGGGTCTCCTTGTGTTTCATTTTTACTTTGTATGAAATGTACTGCAAATAGCTGTTTATGCTCTGTCTATTTTATGGTGTCATGCCTTCTCTTTGGTGTATTAAGGGCCTGAAAGTCTTCTATTAGCTGTTTTCTACTTTAATTAGTTGCCTGCCAATCTTGTGCCTTTGAGCTATGTAATCTCCAATAGGTAACAACCTAAATTATCTGACACTTTTCTTCCTGTCAATTTGCTTTAAAATGTACCTTAGCAGTTTTTAGCAGGCATGTATTATCATTGCAATAACATACCAATAAAGACTAAGTATGCTTTCATGTGCACATAAAATATAAACACACCTTTAAAAGTGAGGGGGACTAGCAAACCAGTTCAATGTCAAGAAGAAAGTTAGTCAGAACTAAACAAAGTAAGCTGTAGGTTAGGAGGACTTTTAGTAACATGAAATACATGATTCTGAGCTTTCTTTTCTGGAGACGAGGAGTAATAACATCTCTCTCAGATGTAATACTTTCAGTGTCAGCATTTTGCCTGGCAAATAGCAAGTGTCAACAAAAACTAATTGTATTATATATGATTTGTTATATCATATCACATAAATGTGTATAGTTATTCACTTCATTCAACATAACCTTTTTCCTGAGTACCTTGTAACAGACTTTTGTGTTTTAGAGCCTACTATGTGACTATACTTGACTCATGTATCATAATGATTTCATTAACTCTAGCCTAAGATAGGAACAACTGATTTTTATTAAGCATATAAAACCTATTTTCTAGCAAGCCATAGAAAGGATCATTATATTTTTTAATGCAGAGGTTATGTCTGTTACACTGAAGAAATTACATCTCTCAACTGTCACTGTTTATGGAATTTTAGAATACTGTATCCCTCTTGATCTCTCTGAAACTCCCAAACTCTGTTGCTCACCAAATTTCATTATATTGTCAAGGTTTTAGGAGATTTTAGGAGGTGCCATGGTACAGATGCTTTATAAATCATATAAGTTTTACAAGTCACTTAGATGATTCAAACGTGTAGATACTGTACATGAATTTATATTTATCACAGAGAGCTGTTAAAATGTCTACAGAGACAGTCCAGTCTTGTAGAATGCACTATTCTGCCATTCTCCTTTCAAATGAATCTAAAGAACTTTTGCAGGCTGTCACTTTCACTGTTCCACTCCCCAATACTTACCCACACAGTATGTGATTTGAATTATGCCCATCAGTGGGCTCCCTTCTATTTCCACCCACAAAAAGCACAATAAGTGACTTCTATTGATCTTTGCCGAAGGATAAAATAGTGACCTAAAAAGATTCTTGGCAGTTGCTACTGTTGTAAAATACAGGCTCCTTCATCATGTCCCCTGTAAATTTTGGAACTTAAGGAACTAGAGATCATTTCTTTGTCTGTTTGTCTATAAAATTAAGAGCTAGATGCAGGGTTGAAAGGATCATTATAATATTAAGGGTTTACAAAGAGCCATATAATATATCCACTACATTCAAAATATTTTATAAAAGTGCCCCAATGTTTCATCTTCACCACAACCCGTGTTTTGTAATAACTTAAAATAATCTAAATGGTTAAATAAAGTGAAGAAATAAGTAAAATTCCACTGATGTCTTTTACATTATGTCATTAGTTTATTTGTTGATAGATACATTTTTATCATATCTGATGAAGGGCATTTCAAAAATCAAGTCAAATGACTCAGCCAAATGTTTTAATTCAGAATTTTAGCAAATTTTGAATAAGACTAACGTAACACTCCCAAAGAAAGGCAATGCCAAAGAATGCTCAAACTACTGCACAGTTGCACTCATCTCACATGCTAGTAAAGTAACGTTCAAAATTCTCCAAGCCAGGCTTCAGCAATATGCGAATCATGAACTTCCAGATGTTCAAGCTGGTTTTAGAAAAGGCAGAGGAACCAGAGATCAAATTGCCAACATCCGCTAGATCATCAAAAAAGCAAGAGAGTTCCAGAAAAACATCTATTTCTACTTTATTGACTATACCAAAGCCTTTGACTATGTGGGTCACAATAAACTGTGGAAAATTCTGAAAGAGATGGGAATACCAGACCACCTGACCTGCCTCTTGAGAAACTTGCATGCTGGTCAGGAAGCAACAGTTAGAACTGGACCTGGAACTACAGACTGGTTCCAAATAGGAAAAGGAGTATGTCAAGGCTGTATATTGTCACCCTGCTTATTTAACTTACATGCAGAGTACATCATGAGAAATGTTGGGCTGGATGAAGCACAAGCTGAAGTCAAGATTGCCAGGAGAAACATCAATAACCTCAGATATGCAGGTGACCCCACCCTTATGGCAGAAAGTGAAGAACTAAAGAGCTTCTTGATGAACATGAAAGAGGAGAGTGAAAAAGTTGGCTTAAAGTTCAACATTCAGAAAACTAAGACCATGGCATCTGGTCCCATCACTTCATGGGAAATAGATGGGGAAACAATGGAAACAGTGGCTGACTTTATTTTTCTGGGCTCCAAAATCACTGCAGATGGTGACTGCAGCCACAAAATTAAAAGATGCTTACTCCTTGGAAGGAAAGTTATGACCAACGTAGACAACATATTAAAAAGAAGAGACACTACTTTGTCAACAAAGGTCCATCTAGTCAAGGCTATGGTTTTTCCAGTGGTCATGTATGGATGTGAGAGTTGGACTATAAGAAAGCTGAGCACCAAAGAATTGATGCTTTTGAATTATGGTGTTGGAGAAGACTCTTGAGAGTCCCTTGGACTGCAAGGAGATCCAACCAGTCCATCCTAAAGGAGATCAGTCCTGGACGTTCATTGAAAGGACTGATTTTGAAGCTAAAACTTCAATACTTTGGCCACCTGATGTGAAGAGCTGACTCATTTGAAAAGACCCTGATGCTGGGAGGGATTGG